AATGCACACAGGGGCGGGGTCCTTAATAAAAGTAGACAGGAACATTAAAGCATTAGGAATACAGGTTTGTATATAGTGTTCTTTTAACTGCTTAACAGGGTCATAGAGAGAAGTCTACATCAGCATACCCTTGAAGAGTTTACAACAAAATACAAATCAGGGTTAATCAAGAGGTTAAGGAAAAAAGTTAGAGCTCTGAAGTAAACACATTCCAGATATAAGTACGTTCCAATGTGTGCTACACAGAGTGGGCTTAAATGCCTTTAGGATGACATGGAACATCCTGAAGGTATGGTGTGAGCATGGTTAAATCCCTGCTCAACCCAGGGTGCCCAAGGTACCCAGGGCTCCTTTAAGTCTGCTGAAGTAATTTTTAGTGGCACCAGATTTTCTGATGAGCTGTAGGCAACTCTTTAATAGCTTTTTTTAATGCCTCTGAAGAGATTGTGGTGTGAGCAAGTTTATAACTCTGCATTATTCAAAATTACAATGCATGTAACCATGAAAACAGCATAGATGGCAGTCACAGACCACTATACCGTATATTGTTTAAACAAGAAAACCCATTTTCTCACATCAGAATTGAGATTAGAGGAAGGTTTCCTTGGAGTTAATGACAGGATATGGGTTAGATTTCGAGGTAAGAGTAGGGTACGGTTAGTGTTATCGTAAGACAAGGGTTTGGATTAATGCCATTTGCAGGGTTAGGGATATTGTGAGGTTATGGTCAAGGGTATGATTAAGGTACGTATATGGTTAGAGTTAGTGTAACGCTAGAGTAAAGGATATGGTACAGTGTTTGTGTGGGGGTTGGTCCCTTAAAAAACAAAACAATATATAATATGTATGGGGCACTTGAAGAGAAACCCTTAAATTATGGTGGAACAAAACACATATCGCAAATTCAAGATTTTGATTTGTGGCACGCAGAGGCAGTGACTAACAGCTGGGAGAAAAGCCTATTTTTTTAAATTGTTTTTTCTACCAAATATTTATTTATTAGAAAAAACTGCTAGCACAATATATAGATATAATTGTATGCTCAATCTAATGATCATAAATTGTTTGGGCCATTACATGTCCCCTCTTTTTGTATTATTCTTTATTTTATTGAGGCATTACAGCAGAATACAAAAAGGAAAAAAAAGTTGGATATGCAGTACATGTGTACATAATAAAATTTGTGAAAAACATTACTATAACAATATAAGTACATAATATTAGCAGGTTAAATCCTTCTTCTAGGTGCCATAGCCTTTTTTATGTTGTGGGAGAAGTAAATAACTATCAACAACGTTGAACATGTTCCCAGTAGCCAACTATGATATGCTGCCGCAAATATAGCTCGTGGTAGTACCCACTAGATCCTTTACTGTATGGGTCTGAAGGGGAGACCTCTATGGTCATGTTGGGACTTTAAGGAGGCCTGGCTGATAAAGTGGGAGCTTTAGAATGTGAGTTAGGCACTCAGCCTGACTCCTGTCATGCGGAGCAGCTCCATCAGCCACAGGGTTGTGGGTGGAAAATCCAATTGTGTTCCCTGAATCAATGAGACACTGTTAGAAAAGTAGACATGGGTAAGCTTATCAAATAATAATAATAAAACTTTGAATCATTGTAAGGTAAACAAAACATGGAGGGCGCAACCCCTGACTGCAATGCCCAGGTTCTCAGTCATGTTCCAGTTTGCATCGCTGGTTGGTGCTGTGGAATGAAGGGAACTACAGTGGGCGCTGTTGTGACGGCCTCTATCTCAAATGGGTGCAGGCAGTCCCAGTGACCTGAACAGGACTGGACTGTTTGTGAGCTGTGAGGGTGCAGTGCGTTAGGATGTCACTTACATCCAAAGCTGGGGCCCTTGGTAATTTCGGAAAGTGGAACAAACCGTTTATCATGACCTTTTTGGCATGTGTCGGGGATAGCAGACAAGGCCACCAGACACCTCAGGTACTGTGGCAGTTCTTCCATTGTGACCGCTTCAGGTACACCTCTGATTTTCAGGTTGTTGCATCTGGATCAAGCATCCAGCATTGAGTGTTGGATGGAGAATGCTTGTTGGGCTTTCTGTACTTGTGAGTCTCTCATAGTTGACACTGCCTGCTTCACAACTATGATGTTCTCTTCAGTGGCACAGACCCGGTCAGTCACCATCTGTAAGTCAGTCTGGATCACTGCTGTATCAGCTTCTAAGGTCTGCCTAAAGTCAGCTAGGAGGGTCTTCATGTCCTGCTTAGATGCCAGGGTTGAGAAGTCTGGGTAGATTGGAGGTGTTTGTTTGCAGCCCGGCAGCTTGGGCTGAGATGGAGCTTTCTCCTGGGTGTGGGCCTGAAGTTCAGTTATGGCCGTATAGGCATCTTGGGCCGCCATCTTGCTTTGGGCCTGTCTCTGGAGCAGGGACCCGATATCTCGGGAGTTGCAAAGTGTACCTGGCAGTGGTTTCTGAGATCGCCTCCCCATTTTAGGTAGTAGGTCTGGCGTAGTGGCGTTCGTGATATCGACCCTCAGGTACAGGATCTGGGGTGGGCTCCGCCATTCCTCGATTCCAAGGCTTGGGGGGAGGTGGTAGGCAGCAAGCTTTTTCTTTCACGGTTTCAACCGAGATTGCTAGAAGAATGGTATGTACCGGTTCCATGTACCACTCCAGGGTGAGTATGTGGGTTGTGGCAGTCGGGTGAGAAATGATGCCCATGATTTTCGAGGGATTCTGGCAGTTTGCCTTGGAAGCTGTGGGGTGCGGTTAAGCCCCGCCCCTAAAATGTTTCACAACAGCCCTGCCATCTCACACCCCTAAAATTAAAGTGTCCCTCTTTGTCCATTTGAAGTGCTTCAAACATGTTCTAAAGCCAACAGAATAATCAGGATACCTTTAATAATTAATTCATTTACAATGCTAAGCACAATAAAATGTCTCGTAGGAGAGCAAAATATATTTATTTAAGAGAAAAGCAGCCTGAATTATATACCAAGTTGTGAAGCTATTTTAAGATTTTTCACCAAGGATCAAGTCAGAGCATTCTGTTAAAAGTGTAGTTTCAAAGGTTATGACAGATGTCTGCTCATCACATTTATCTTCTGTCAAAAGGGATTTAGAGGTGGTTACTAACCTCTATGGAAGGTCAAGTTCCAGAAACAAAATATTGATTAAAAGTTTAACTTCTATTGCATTGCCAAAAACTCAAATGTATCTGGATTTCTTCACTACAAATATTTTCCTCTCCTGCATAACAGACATTCAATTATATTTAAAGGAATACTCCAGAAAGTATAGATGCAATAGTGGCTGCGTCTCCACTTCAAGTACAATGAAAGATGCAAACTCAGAATATATTTACTATAATTTTCTATGAGAGAAAGACATTTTCCCATAAAACAAAACAAAAAACCCCAACAAAAATACCAGGAATTTACTAACATTTGCAACAACCTTCCATGTACCATAAAATCTATGCAAAGAACACCGTTATGCTGCTTGGATTATTCTTTTAATGTTGATTGAATTCATTTACAGGTAAATTCACTCTGGAATTTATTTTACTTTAAATATCAAACCAGAAAAAAAAAAATATGTAATTATTAAATTTGTGTAGTAATAAAATATACATGGTGGAGTGGAACATTTTCCTTAAAAAAAAAAAGATAAAAGGAAAATTAGTCTAATCCTATGAACACACACTGAAACTGTACAGGAGCAGAAAGATGTGACATTTGCACATAGCTTATATAGTGTGGATTTTCCAGCAGTTTCATAAACTTCCATTTTTCACCATCTTTAGTATAAGTCCTTTACAAATTTGTTTAACAGTCTGTGTTTTAAGGCAACACATCACAAAACCTTTAAAAGTAATACTGCAGGGTCAAAACAAAATATGTAACGCTGGGGTATTAAAAAATGAGTCTAGATTACAGTCTCCTCACTATGCCCATATGGCCTAAAACAATTAAAAGGACTGAGAAGATAGAATTTATTTATTAATTTTTCAGAATCTTGCTTGTGCTCCCAAGCATATAATTCAGGGGAAGTGGTGGAACTAATGTAAAAAGGGACCTGGTGCAAGAATATATTTTGGAACCTGCTCTAACGCAAGGGTGGCCAAAAGATGATCCTCAACTGTTGTACATCTCCCACATGCGTGCTGGGTTGTTTTTGTGACCAGTGTCTGTGTGTTTGAACGTGTGTAGTGTTGATGTTTAAATTCAGGGGTGCGTTTTTGTGTAGTGTATTTAAATGTTAGGGTGAACTTGTATATAGTGCTGGCGTTTGAATGCAGTTGTGTGTAGTATTTGTGTTTAAATGTAGGTGTGCATTTGTGCACAGTGTTGGCTTCTGAATGCACTGTTGTATACATACACAGCAGTAGTTCCTCTTATTCTCTACTCAGTCCCCCACAGTTTCTGGTCTAAGACTCATTCTGCTAGCTCCAAGCCCATTTCAGTAATGAATAATAAATAACCTCTCCCCAGTTGTGACACCCAGCCAGCTATGCCTAAACTCAGCACCACACACAGCATATTCATTCTCCATTATTCCTCCAGCCAGGCTTTGGCTCATCTTCCTTCAGAAGTCTTGTGACTGCATCTTTAACAGTCACGTGTTGGCTGCAGCACAGTAATTAGTGTGGAGGCTCCAAATAGTCTTCCTGTGTGTGGCCCTGCCTCCCATTCTCTGTATGGCTGGGACTGCAGGACCAGTTAATTGCAGGATGCGCAGAATCAGCAGTTAAGTCAGATCAACAGAATTACCAGCCCTGTCTGCTCACTCCAACGAGCAGTGGCAGGAACCCAAATCTTCTGGAGTCCGTTTGCAGGTGCATTGAACATCAGCAGAACTAGCGGCAATGCAGCCAAAGTGTTAAGACCACCTAAAATCCATTTTATAGACGTATCACTTCAGTAAATGTAGTTTGACAGAGGAAAGGAAGAAATGAGAGATGACATTTAAATCGCCTTATGATATGTAAATTATTGAATAATATTAATATCGTCGCAGCTTTGATTGTGAAAATGAGGCTCCACTAGCACAAAGCAATAGCTGGATAATGATACACTCATGAAAATTAGCAGCTTACCTAGTTACAAAATAGACATTCTTAATGTACATTATAGATTATGTCAATCTGCTCTGTCACCAAGACAACTAATTAGTTCATATACACACAGATTGAAGACTCTTTCTTTTTGGCACATACAAGTACTATAATGTTTGCAGATATTGGATTTATTTACTTAATACGGTCTGTTGTGCCAAGAGTTTTCATTTTTTTAACCACTTAGTGAGCAGACCACTTTTCAACTTTCTTACCGTTTGGGACCAGGGCTGTTTTTACATTTCTGCAGTGTTTGTGTTTAGCTGTAATTTTCCTCTCACTCATTTACTGTACCCACACATATTATGTACTGTTTTTCTCACCATTAAATAGCCTTTCTAAAGATACCATTATTTTCATCAGATCATATAATTTACTATAAAAACATTTATAAAATATAATTTAAAAATATGTACAAAAACACACTTTTTCGAACATTGACCCCCAAAATCTGTTACGCATCTACAACCGCCCAAAAATACCCGTGCTAAATAGTTTCAAAATTTTGTCCTGAGTTTAGAAATACCCAATGTTAACATGCTGTTAGCTTTTTTTGGAAAGTTATAGGGCAATAAGTACAAGTAGTTTTTTTTTTTACATTAACGCAAGTTACATTGTAACACTGATTTTTGTCAGGAATCCCTGAATAACCCTTCACATGTATGTATTTTTTTTTTTTAAAAAAGACAAACTAAGGTATTAAACTTAACGTATTTTGATGCTTTTCATGCAACCATTTTACCACCAATCTATTCCAAATTTAAAAAAAAAATAATTGGTGATTTTTTTTGACACACATTGCAATTTAAGAATACATCTACTGAGAACTTTAAGGGTTACTGCCAAAGAACACCCTGTGACGAAGTGCCCTTCGCCACTTGGTCCTGGAGAGGCCTGCTTGCCAGCCTCCTCCCCTGTGACTATGACTCTTTCATGTATTTGGCTTTAAAGCCCCTAGTCTACCTTCAGACAGACTATTTATGTAGGCTGCTTTATTTCTCTTATGTTTTAGTCACCCTGTACCCATTATAGGTGCAGGGTGTGTGTAATGTAATTGTTTATAGTGTGTGTGTGTGTGTGTGTGTGTGTACTGTGAAATGTATTGCCTGCTCTCCTGTACTGCTGAGGTTTGCTACCAACTAGGTGGGTTTGACTATGGAGCTTGTCTAGTGCCCTCTGTTGGTAGCAACAGCAATATGCACTACCTGAATTGCAAGACTGGTTCATTTGCATATTCGGGTAGATTTGCATATTGCTAATTCTGCAGGCAGGTGAGATATTTACTGTTAAATATTGTCTCCCCCACCCCTTTAACCCCTTAAATCCAGAGGGCTTAATATTACGCCCTGCAGGAGCCGGCTCTAAACGCCGGCGGGCGTAATAGTACGCCCTCACTTTAATGGCCGCCCACGTGGCCGGTGCTAATCGCCCGCTGCAGATCGCGGTCGGGGGTGTTGCCTGGCCCCCCAGGCAACCCCCCCTGTGGCCGGTGACCGCGATCTGCAGTCTCTGATCGCAGTGACAGGCTGTCACTGCGATCAGTATTTAACGTGTGTCAGCCGATTTCAAATCGGCTGACACACATGGCCAGCGGCTCTCCCCTGTGCAGATAGTGGTCGGGGGACTTACCTGGCCCCCCAGGCAGTCCCCCTGGGGTCAGTGACCGCGATCTGCTAAGTCTGAGATCGCAGTGACAGGCTGTCACTGCGATCTCAGAGCGCTCTGATCGCAGTGACAGCCTGTCACTGCGATCAGTGTTACATGTGTCAGCCCATTGGCTGACACATGTAACTGGCACAAAGATCCCCCTGCAGATTGGAAGGGGGGAGTGCTTGTACCACCCAGGCACTCCCCCCTGTGGCCAATTACCCAATCTGCAGGAGGTGATCACAGTGACAGGCAGTCACTGTGATCACTGATCCAGTGTGTCAGCCAGTGATGTAAAATCACTGGCTGACACTGTCTCTGCCCCCTCTCCTGTAAAAAAAAAAAAATATTAGTTTAAAAAAAAAAAAATTACAGTTACATATAAAATATACTTAGATCATATATATTATATATATGATCTAAGTATATATATATATATATACACACACACACACACACACACATTTACACATACACGAAGTGTATTTAAATATTAATATATATAATTATTTATATATATATTACTATCAAATTACACGTAGACTGATACTGATTAAATATATATATATATATAATTATTGTTATATATATATATATATTTATAATATAAAAATGTAAATACGTAAAAAAATAAAATTAAAAAAATAATTAAAAATAAATAATAAAAAAATATATAGATGTTTGTTATTTCGTTCTAACTGTATTGTGATATTAATATATATATATATTTATATAAAAATACACGTAGAACGAAATAATATATATATCTATATACATAAATATATATGTTTATATCACTATATATATATATACACATATATATAAATACAAATATTAAAAAAATTATATATATACACATATATATTCACATACGTATATATATACACATATTAATTCTACACATATATTTATGTAATATTTTTACATAATTAGGTATCCTAATTAATTACAATTAGCGGGACCTGACTGACAACCCATGCCAAAAGTATAGGGAATTTAATTTGCTAGCACTATATTTAACCCTATAACTTTCCAAAACACCATAAAACCTGTAAATGGGGGGTACTGTTTTACTCGGGAGATTTCGCTGAACACAAATATTAGTGTTTCAAAACAGTAAAATGTATTACAGCGATGATATCGCCAGTAAAAGTGACGTTTTTTGCATTTTTCATGCACAAACAGCAGTTACACGGACGATATTATTGCTGTGATACTTTTTACTGTTTTGAAACACAAATATTTGTGTTCAGCGAAGTCTCCCGAGTACAACAGTACCCCTCATGTACAGGTTTTATAGTGTTTTCAAAAGTTACAGCGTCAAATATAAGGCTTGTGTTTCATTTTTTTCACATTAAAATTCGCCAGATTGCTTACGTTGCCTTTGTGACCCTATGGTAACCCAAGAATGAAAATTATCCCTATGATGGCATACCATTTGCAATAGTAGACAACCCAAGGTATTGCAAATGGGGTATGTCCAGTCTTTTTTAGTAGCCACTTCGTCACAAACACTGGCCAAAATTGGCGTTTTTTGCATTTTTCACACACAAACAAATACTAACGCTAACTTTGGCCAGTGTTTATGGCCAAATGGCTACTAAAAAAAGACTGGACATACCCAATTTGCAATACCTTGGGTTGTTTACTATTGCAAATGGTATGCCATTATGGGTGTAAATTTAATTCCTGGGCTACTATACAGTCTCAAAGGCAACGTAACCAATCTGGCGAATTTCAATTTCAAATGTAACGTGCTGTATTTGACCCTGTAACTTCCCAAAACACCATAAAACCTGTACATAGGGGGTACTGTTTTACACGTGAGACATGGCTGAATACAAATATGTGTATTTTATTGCAGTAAAAGCAAACAGTATTATGACATTGACAGTTAAAATGTCATGTAGAACTAAAAAAATAACAAAATTTCTTATTTTCTACCATTTTTTTCATATTAAATTATGTTTCATAGCTAAATATTTGATATTAAATGAAAGCCCTGTTTCCCCTGAATAAAATGATATATAATAAGGGTAGGTGCATTTACTATGAAAGAGGTGAATTACGGTTGGACAGACATGTAGCGCAAATGCCAGGTTTTGTTTACATTTTGTTTCGTTCACAACGTGTACATTTGGCTCTGTCCTTAACCCCTTAACCCCTTAAGGACTGGACTGTTTTTGCGATGTTGTACATTTGCGACCAGGCATATTTTTACACTTTTGTGGTGTTTGTGTTTGGCTGGAATTTTCCGCTCTCTCATTTACTGTTCCCATACAAATTATATATTGTTTTTCAGGACAAAAGGGGCTTTCTTTACATACCATTATTTATATAATCTCATGTATTTTAATTTTAAAAAAATAAAAAAATATGATGAAAAATTTAAAAAAATACATGTTTTTTGACTTTTACTTGAAAAATCTTTTACTCATCTACAAAAGCGAATGAAAAAAAATGCTAAATAGATTCAAAATTTTGTCCTGAGTTTAAAAATACCTAGTGTTTACGTGCTTTTTTGCTTTTTTTTGCATGTTATAGGGCTATAGGTACAAGTAGGATATTGCGGTTTCAAAACATACATTTTTTAAAATTTATCAATAGTGACATTGTAACACTATTATCTGTCATAAATCTCTGAATAACACCCCACATGTACATATTTTTTTTAAAGTAGACAACCCAGGGTATTCAATATAGGGTATGTCCAGTCTTTTTTAGTAGCCACTTAGTCGAAAACACTGGCCAAAGTAAGCATTCATATTTGTTTGTGTGTGAAAAAAGTAAAAAAAACTAAATTGAACGCTAATTTTGGCCAGTGTTTGTGACCAAGTGGTTACTAAAAAAGACTGGACATACCCCATTTGCAACACCTTGGGTTGTCTTCTTTTGCAAATGGTATGCCATCATGGGGGTAATTCTCATTCCTGGGCTACCATACGCTCTCAAAGGCAACGTAACCAACCTGGCCATTTTCAATGTAAAAATATTTGACCCATATATTTGACCTTGTAGCTTTCAAAAATGCTATAAAACATGTACATGGTGGGTACTGTTTTACTCGGGAGACATCGCTGAACACAAATATTAGTGTTTAAAAACTGGAAAACGTATCACAACAATTATATCATCAGTAAAAGTGCTGTTTGTGTGTGAAAAATGCAAAAAAAGTCACTTTCACTGACAATATCATCGCTGTGATATGTTTTACTGTTTTGAATCACTAATATTTGTGTTCGGCGAAGTCTCCCGAGTAAAACAGTACCCCCCATGTACAGGTTTTAGGGTGTCGTAGAACGTTACAGGGTAAAATACAGTGCTAGCAAATTCAATTCTCTGGAATTTCGGCCTGGGTTGGCAGGCAGGTCCCTTAAATTGCAATCAATAAAATTACTGAATTATATAAAACTATTACATAAATACGCACGTAGAATTTAAATATATATGCATATTTATATATTTGAAGTCTACGTGTATATTTATATAATTATTTATGTAATTTTGTATATGGACATATGTATATTTCTTATTATTTTTATTTATTTTTATATACATAGATATATATACAAATTCATTCTAAGTGTATTTTGATATAAATATATATTAATTTTAAAATACAGTTAGAATACAATTTCATATAGATATATAATTTTTTTTAAATTTTTATTATTATTTTTTTTTTAAATTATTTAATTTAAATTACTTATTATTTATATTTTATAATATATATATACAATATATATAATTATATATATTATATATATATATATATATATACACACGTGTGTAATTTAATTATAAGTGTATTTTTATATTAATATAAGTACATATTAATATAAAAATACACTTAGTATGACATTATATATATATATATATGATATATAGACATATATTATAAAATTATAATATATGTCTATATATCATATATGTATACACATATATAATTATTTTTTTTTATTAACATTAACTTTATTTTTTTTAAATGATTTTACACTAGCAGGGAGACTGCCTGTCAGCACAGGCAGTCCCCCTGCAGGTAGACACTAGGACACCTATTGTGACCATGTGATCGCTGTGTTGAGCGATCACATGGCCACAGGGGTCCTAATTCAGTGTGGGGAGACTGTCTGGGCTGCAGGCAGTCTCAACACAACCGGAGCCACGCTGATCGCCGCCGGGGGAACGGCGGCGATCAGGTAAGTAACTAAGACCGTTAGGACGGTTCAGGACCGTCATCGGTCGGCAACGCAAAAATGCAGATGACGGTCCTGAACCGTCCTCGGTCGCTAAGGGGTTAAAAATGTGCCATTGTGTTGTGATAAGTCACTGTGTGTTGCCTGCTATGGTTTGACTGTTTTTGATTTTATTGAGGTTTCACAACAATGTTATTGTGGTGACCCTGTGGGCTGGTCCCAAGGGAAATAAAGGTTTAGACAGTTCTTCTTGATCCCTCTAAACGTAGCCTTGTCTCATTATTGGAGGGAGCTGTTATAATCACACTGGCGATTGCTATGCTCTGCATGCTCCCCTGAGCTTGAATCACTTAGCTCTTTTAAGAGATTGTACCTGACACGCTCTCCTTGGAGGAGGGGTCTTCACCACACAGTCCTGGATGCTGGAGGTTCATACAGGGTGGAAGGAAGAGTTCTTTCCCACACAGTCCTGGAAGACAGGAGCTGATCCAGGGTTGAAGGAAGACGGGGTCAAAAATACATTATTTGGAGGGTGCACATTCCAGTTTTCCAACTTGGAATTTACACAGATGGTCATCATGCACCCATATCCTATTTGGGACATTTTTTAAGCTGGTCAATGTTATTTACCCCCATCAAACCATATATTTTTAAAAAGTAGACACCCAAGGGTATTTCACATGGTGGTATTTTAACACTTTCCCTGCACTAATTCTACCACCAGTCTTTGTCAACCTTTTGGGTAGTAATTTTTTGTGTTATTTTTAACACATTTTACTTTAGACATGGATTCTCAGCTCCTGTTATATATTACTGCCAAAGAACATCCTCATATGTGTTGTCTAGATAGCCACTTAGTCACAAATGCTGGCCAAACTTAGCGTTTCAATTTGTTTTTTAATAATATATTTAATATATTATGTGTACATACATACATACACACACACGTGCAGCTCAAATAGTACAAGTGTTGTGCTTCCTGGTATCCATAGTCTCCGCCACCTTGATGACATCAACACGTTTCTCCGGTCTGTCCGACTTCCTCAGGATGTGATGGTCACTTCCTGAGGAAGCCCGACAGACCGGAGAAACGCACTGACGTCATCAAGGGGGAGGACACTACAGAGACTACACTGCAGCCTTGCAGAGACAGTGTCTCCAACTCCTCCATATTTTACAAAGCTGGGCCGTGAGTAACGGCGTATGCCAAGTCTGCTCACCACTTTCTCTTGTAAGAGACAGTTTGTTTGTTGATTTTTTTTTTTAAACAGAGTTTTTTAAATAAATTAGTTTATACTTTGCCAATATCAGGGTTCCATCACTGTATGACAGATACCTGATCTCCTTACTTTAACAATTGGGGGGATTTTATGGGAATCTCTATCTACAGTAGTGATGGTGTTGAAAGCATTTTTTTGTTTTAAACTATCTGCACAATTATGTGTTTTTATGTATTCCCTTTACATGTGCTATGAGCTGTGTTAACTGGGAGCCATCTACTGAACATTGAGTATTACTGCAATACCTTTATAATTAACATTTGGTTGTGGGTCTATCACCTAAACATACATTTCATACTGCTCCACTCTTTTCTATATTTCTTCCTGTTTTGATTCTGTTTTATGTGTTAGGGGTATAACATATTGAGTGTGTCAGCAACATTGTGTAAAAAATTCATACGAACTCTAGGTATATGAAATTTTTAAAGTGCGCTCCAAAATTAAATTACTTTACCATATATAAAGTATCATCAGAAGACAACCGATTGCTGGCAAGGGGACGGCGGCGATCGGTAAGTACATGGGGAGGGAGGGGAAGTTTTTTTTAAAAAAGATGTAATTTATACATTTTTTTCCTTTTACTGAGTGCCTCGACCCCTCGAGGCACTCAGTACAGGCAGAGCATCGGAAGCCTGCCTGATGGCTTCTGATGCTCTGCTGTACACTGCCGGGTGCCACGTGCGGCAACCCGGAAGTGATCGCTCCAGGGGGAGCGATCACCCGGGTGCTCGGCAGTGAGGGGGTATTGTACGATGCCTCGACATCGAGGCATCGTGCAATACCCATAGAGCGGCTGGAAGCGATCACGATTAAATTAGCCTCAAATGAGCGGCGTGTTAAAAAAAAAATAAAAAAAAAAATACAAAACGATATTTTGGTTTTGGCAAAACAAAAATTAATAAATAAATCTAGGTTGATTCCCTGACAGCGGAATAATGCATAAAAACAAAAACTGTCTTGACACATTTATAGGGACAAGTGCCCAGTTCACAATACGGAAAAATTTACACATGAACGCATTATTTGACAATCTGACATATAGTGGAAGAAATGAACGATTCAGAGAAGAGGCTATTGGGGGGAGAGAACTAAATAAGGAGCATTTATCATTTAACCATTCTAATAAGCTAGATTACAGTGTTATATGTTTCTATCACTTCATGCAATTAAAAGGGGCACTCCAAGTACCAAAACAACTTTAATACATTTGGTTTTGGTCTCATTAAAAAGAATACTCCAAGGACTATAACCACCACAACCTGTATTGTAGGGCTTAACTGAAGAGAGCTAACGGAAGTTCCCACTGAAGAACCTCTGGCTTTCAGGAGATGGTAATGAAGGCAGGGAGCAGAGTAAGAAGTCAGACCTGTTCAAAAATGTGAGTCTGTAACAGTCCACATGTACTCAGCCAGAATACCTCTATTATTCTCTATAAAACGTTAAGAGTGAGTATAGCCTATTTAGCAGTTTTCCAAAACATCAGTCGAGGGTTGATGAAGGGTGAAAAACAATTATGTATATTTACCCCCCAGGGGTGATTAGTACGAAAATACAGTATCCTATCCTATGCACCACTCTGTTTAAACTTAGAATAGTCATTCCACCTAACTCCTCTCCAGACACGGTGCCAGGAATCAGAATCATTGCCCAACATAGGAGATGTATTAGTTGTAGGAGATTCTAACAGCTCACCTCCTCAGTTACCCACTGTCCAAATATGCAGTTTTGTTTTGAATGCTCTAATCTTTATAGTTTTTACACAAATAAATCAATGTTTTGCATAAAGCCGAGCCCATACAGCACTAACTGAACTGCTTTTTATTCACAACTGGTTGCAGACATTCAGAAATCGTCTCCCACGGTGTTCACCTACTAATACAGGTTGCTTTGTAGTTCAGATCACTCACTCAGAGTGGTCAGTTGTTGAGCGGTACATGCACAAATGATAAGGAAGTATTTTTGATGAGGGAGGATGTGTAGCTGAGAAGGTAGGCTTACAGTGCAGCATTCTGAAATACCCTTCTACATAAAGCCATAGCGACACGCTTTAGATTATAGCTCCACAAACTGAAACATGCCAGCATGGGTTGGATCACTGCACATTAGGCAACCACATCAATAGGCATTGCAAATTGTAATAGTGCTTACTGGTAATTCTGCTTTCAGAGCAGAAAATGTGGGCAACCCCACCTCCTTATGCAGACCCATACCCAACTCCCCTCAAAAAACTCCTGTCTTCTTTCCTACAATACATATTCCCTTAAAGTTGCTTAGTTTCCTTCCCCCCAGTCCACCAACCATGTATCCACCTTTTAAGATCCTCAACCACTCATATCATTTATTAGTCCTAAGAGGCATTTCTGGCCTGCCAGATCTTCTTTCATGGCACCACTGTTAGCATGTCCAAGATGACATTCAATGGTAATCAATTTATCTTCCTTTCCAAGGGCATGTGCGTAAAATCATGTGCATGTCCGGTATACACAGACCGATGATGACGCAACATTGCTGAAAGTGGCACAATGTGTGAGGTAAGAAGACATCAACCTGCAGATTATACATACGGGGAAGTAGTCCATACTTCCCCCTTATGTAAACTTTAAAAACATTTATTATAATAATAATAATAATAGAAAAGAAAAAAAAGATCTGCCCATGGTTGGATATTTAAGAATGGCAGTATGAGGCACATATTATACACGTCTCAACCTCCCATGACAGGCACTTTCATAGCATCTTATAGCTCTACAAACAACACTGAAAGCTGTGCAGCTTTCAGTAAGCAGACAACAGGTGCCATGTAACTTTATTATAATTCCAGCACTTTCAGTATGAGAATTTCATAAAGATTTTATGAAATCCATATTTACCCCCATACACATACATAAGAAAATATAGGGACTAATCTTTGCTATGGGGAGTATGAAATGGTTTGATCTTAAAGGAACACTGCAAACACCTGAAGCATTTAGCTTTCTGAAGATTATGACCTTTTTATTCATTTTACAAAGTTCATATTTCAATAGAAATTGGCCCACTTACAAATTAACCTTGTTATACTCATTGGATATTAATCACACAACCAGTCCTGTTACTTCCTGGTAGTTTATCTCAGTGGAGCTCAACATGAGATATTGCTGAAGAGCACCTGCTTTGCAAAGAATTATTGAGGTACATTGGAAAGTCGGTGATTGGATATCCACAGAAAGATTGGACGAGTTTAGACGGGGAAGGCTTGCAAAGGCTGCAGACAAGAGATCTTCACCTTTTGCAAGTTTTTTTTTTTAGATATACCTCCAATGAAAACATTCATTCATTTTTTTCATTATATCTACAAAATTGTTAAAAAAATTTTTTTTACAAAAATTGGAGTGTTTCTTTCAACGGACACTGTAGTACTTAACCCATTAAGGACCAAACTGCTGGAATAAAAGGGAATCATGACATGTCCCACATGTCATGTGTCCTTAAGGGGTTAAAGGGACACTATAGTCACCTAAACAACTTTAGCTTAATGAAGCAGTTTTGGTGCATAGAACATGCCCCTGCAGCCTCACTGCTCAATCCTCTGCCATTTAGGAGTTAAATCCCTTTGTTTATGAACCCTAGTCACACCTCCCTGCATGTGACTTGCACAGCCTTCCATAAACACTTCCTGTAAAAGAGAGCCCTATTTAGGCTCTTTATTGCAAGTTCTGTTTAATTAAGATTTTCTTATCCCCTGCTATGTTAACCCTATAGTGTTCCTATAAGCAAGCTTCTGTCTCAGTTGCCAATCAGATTTACCCACAATCCACTAGTCATAAGAATGCCACAAAAGGGCCATCTGCAGACATCATGGAAAAAATGGCAGTGTTTGCATATAGATATTCAGAGCAAGAAAGAAAAGATATTAGTGTGACGGTAGGCAGTGTATAATCATATATACTCAAGGGGCGAAAAGAGAAATAAAACCTAAAGAGGGAAATTGGTGAGATTAGTGAAAATTTAAAATAAAAAAAAACAGTAATTTGAGATTAACATTTTCATTTTATATAAATATTTAAAAAAACAAAACAAAACAAAATCAGTAACTACATTTCAGCAGACAGACTTTCTTTTGAGTTTAGTTACCTGTGATCATCTTCTTCTTTTAGTTTCTTAGCAGCCTGAGTAGACATCTTGATCTGCAAATCCAGTCTATGTAGGAAATCTTTAGCAGATAGCTCTTCATCAAGTCTTATCACAGGCCGCTTTGTTTCAGGAGAGCTGGGTGATAAACCACTGTCTGCCTGTGCAACCAAAGCTTCTTGAGTCTGAGAAGTGCAACTATCAACGGATTCATTTTCTGGAGAGCCCAACAGTTCAAGTCCATTAAACAAGCTCGACTTCTCCGGTATAACTGGAATACTCAGGGACTTCCGCAGGAAGATACAATCAGTAGAAAATAATTTGTTGGCCCTTTTAATTTGTTCCATCTGGAAGGAAGGGATGGAGACAAGAACAAGAATATAAGTGTGTTAAACATGAAAGTTAAAGGGACAATCCAAGTAACACAATCACAGCATCTCAGATGAAGTGAATTTGGGCCATAAATGCTGCCCCTGCAGCCTTGCAGTTGAAAGTGCAGTATCTGAGAAAAAGCCGTTTGTGGTTTCAAACTAAAAGAGCTTTAGTAACAATCTATTTTGCCTACGGCAGCAGCATACTTTGCAGCGTGTGGATGTGCAATCATTGCTTATCATAAATCAGTGTACTGGTATATGGCGGCAAAAACAGTAACAAGGAAGATGGATCCATGCCACTGGATGTAAAGATCTTCTGCTCTCAACAGTGGAAAAACAAGAAAATAAGGACTGCAGTGCTGCAATCACAAACTCCTTCCACACGTATTGTTACACAACCTCTAACTATTCAGCCAACAGATTTTACCTATTCCATTGAAATCATTAGGGATAGTGCCACTCCAATACAAAAACACAACACTATAACATTACAGAAAGCACCTACACACACACACACACAAACATATATAGGAGGTAGGGAAGGAAGGAAGGAAGGAAGGAAGGAAAGAAGGAAGGGAGGGAGAATGAGTGTGTGTGTGTGTCTCTCTCTCACACAGGCACATGTTTGCATACAAACAAACAACAGCATTCATAAGTTTGCTGTTAAGACATGCAGCCAAAGGTTATGCAAAGGCAACATTTCTGGAAGATCAAGCTCTCCCTAATGCATATGTTCATTTGCTCTCATTCTTCAGGCATTGTCCCTGCTTCCCTTAACTTGCTATTGTCGTACCTATCCTTAAAAAAATCCATCTCTTGACTCTTCTTTTCTTTCAAAGTATCGTCCCATATCCCTGCTCCCTTTTTCCTCAAAGGTTCTAGAACAACTTGTGCTTAGCAGTTTGGCTTTCTTTCTCAATTCCAACATTCTCCTCGACCAACTTCAATCTGGTTTACGCCCCCTCCACTCTACTGACACCATTGATTAAAGTAATTATCAAAATTGCTGGCAAATCCAAAGGCCACTACTGTTGCCTATAAGAGTCCATTCAAAATACTAACCTATACTTACAAAGCTGTAAAAAACTCTAGACCCCGTCTCTCTGTCTCTCCTATCTGCCAGTGACCATCTCCTGTCTGCTACTTACACCCTTACTGCTAACTCGCCCTTGCGGGACTCACGGGCGTTTCCTTTCTTTTGGCCTATCCCATCAGACTCTCCCCTAGTCTTCAATCATTTAAAAAGTCCCTTAAAACCCACCTCTTCAGAAAAGTTTATGGCCTCGCCGAGTAACTTCTAATTCACAAACCCGACTCTTGCCTTCTCATAAAGGGACACACTCAACTCTCACTCTCACTCTTGTTCTGCTACTTTCCCACTTTATCGTTTGGTTTCTATCTCTCCCCACCTCCCCCAGACTGTAAGCTCAATTGAGCAGGATCCTCAACAACCTATTGAGACCTTTTCAAAATGTTACAGGAACATCTATTGTTTTCCCCTTTTTTAATATTGTAATGTACTTTGGAATAAGTTGATGTTATAAAAATGCCAAAAATAATAATAACAACAATGTTAGTGAGTGCCTGCCAGTAAGTCTTTGCAAGTATTGGTACTTTAATTCTAAAAATACAAGGTATGTTCATGGCCACAAAAAAAAAAATGTGTTTAAGTGGTTGCCCCACTCCGATCAGGTGGTTTTACTCACCTTTTTTCCCTATGTCGCCCCGCTCTTGATGCAGCTTGCCCTGATCCATGGCTAAGATCTATCTTGATGATCTCAGCCAATCCAATGCTTTCCCTTAGGAAAATATTGGGAGACAAATGCGTGTCAAAATGCTGCTCTGGGCCATTCAGCATCCCATCACAGAAATGCATTGAATCAATATATCTCTAAGGGGAATGTCAGCGCCTCCATGTACAAAGTGAAGATGCTGAAAGTAGGTGCTGCACACTGTGCAGCACTGGACTAGGAGGCACCTCTAGTGTCCGTCTGAGTGATGGCCGATAGAAGTGTTACTAGGCACAATGTAAACACTGCTATGTCTCTGAAAAAGGCAGTGTTTACACTGAAAAGTCTGGAGGGGCAGACTATAGACGCCAGAATGACTACAACAACCTGTAGTGGTTCTGGTGACTATAGTGTCCCTTTAAGATATGTTGTTTTTGCCGTTGAAAAGCTTTGTTAGTTTAAAAAAAAAAAACAACAACAAACAAAAAAAAAACCTGTCTCCTAGATTTAAAGCAAATTTGTGAAACCCTGCCTTAAAGTCTTTGTGAGCTGCATGGCCCACACAAATCTAATTATGTGTGTGTTTTTCTTATATCAGTGATGCTTTCTACCCTCTAGTTATTTTTGGTTTGTTTGCCTCCCACATAAACAATAAAACCTTTCACTATCTGCAAGTTACATACAAACCTACCAACCACAGTGACTGCCACTCAGAACAGATCTGCAGCATGTAATTAGATTATATATTTCTCTGCTAAGAATATGTTTAGCAATACTAAAAATGTAAGTTAAAACAAATACAAACAGCACTGCCTCAATTCAAAGAAAATGCATTGCAAAGTTAAGCCAACCCTTTGAAACTATAATTTTTTTCCCCAGGAAGCAAGGCCTCCCACCACTGACCTTCATAAATACTCAAAGCCAAAGAGTTGCTCCCCATTCATTAAAAAGTACATTTTCTTTACGAAAGGGGAGCTGATTGGCTCCTGTATCCAAATTAGAGTAAGTAGATGTAAACGGTTGCAGGGGCATGGGTTAATATTACTTTGCATTGCATTTTCTCTGAATTGTGGCAGTGTTGTTTTTATTTGACTTGCTATTGCTAAGCATATTATTAGCAGAGAAACATTGTCGGATTACATGATGCACATCTGTTCTGTGTGTCAGTCACTGTGGTTATTCTTTTTTTTTTTTTAAATAACTTATTTGTAGATAAAAATACACACAACATTGAATATTAGAAAAAAAATGTTTTAGCAGTTTTGCATTTAATAAATGTCTATACAACAAGCGATATATCTCTCGTCCCCTGATCTCTCACCCACTGTCCTACAACGCATCACTGGTTCCCTTGCTTCCATCTCTGATTGCATGTCCCCCCCGCATTCTGAAACTCAATCCCTCTAAAACAGAGCTTGTTATTTGTCCTCCTCATAATACTGATCCCACTCTTTTGCCCTGCCTGCAAGTTGATGGTACCTGCATCAGGACCTCCATGCTAGAAAAAGTAGTCAAATATATTCACTAAATAATCCCGAATAATAAAAATGGCCAATATGTCTAGGCTTTCAGTTAAAGGAACACTCCAGACAATGTGCTTTGTGTGTCTGGATTTTATTTTTCCCCCCAACAGTTTATTAAAGTGATGATTTCAATAGAAATCAAAACTTTTCTAATTGGGGGTATTTTTGCGAGGGAGACTATCATAAGCTTCTGCTAGGACCACAGATTTAATAGAAGTGGCAAGAACATTGGCCTAGAACGCACATGCCTTTTCACCTTTTCAATGTACTACAGCTCATAGAGAAGCACTGGAAAGTCCTTTGCGTCCGCAGCACAGTGGCTTGTCAATAAGATGCTTATGACTGGTAATTTCTCTAACAGGGACTGAAAAACTTGCCTGGGAAAAGTAAGGGCATCCAAAACCAGCTGAAAGGAGGTCTTTTTTCCCCTCCCAAACAAAGCATGCAAAACACATTTTCTTTGACGGCATACCTACTACAGGGATGTGAAATTTATATTGCCAGACACTCAGGACAGATTATTTTTATTCTTTATTATTTTGCAGCATCAGGGCTGCCTTGCGGGAGATGGTGCTTGGCAGGGAGTGCATCTCTGGCAGCAGGAGGAGAGCCAGACTACTCACTAAGAAATGTCTTACAGGGACACTGCAGCTCACCAAATACCTCTGTCAGTGCCATGGGATCTTGGCATTTGAAATTATTTTGTGTCTGGACAAGTAGATTCTCATGCGGGGAAATAGACAAGGCTACCACTTTAAGCCCTTGAGCAAGTAGATGTACTATATAGTTTAGAAAATGAAAAATTTATTGAAATGAATACTCCTTTCTTTTTAGAGGTTATAGAACTGTGGTGGAATCTCGGTAAAAATAAATTTAGTAGGCCGAGATTACCACATGGCATGTGTACGTGCATATGCTGACGTATCGATCAGTTGGTTGCACGAGGCAAGATACGATCAGTAGTGTACGGAGCATGTGCAAGAATACAGGATGTAGTATTCCCCTCCTCCATTGTGCTGGACAAGCCATGTGGTCAAGCAGGAAGTTAATTCTTATTTGTAATGATTGGTCAAGAGAATGTGCGGGTGGAGCTTAATATGGGAGGAGTTATGTGCCTATATAGGAAGCCTGCACTATTGTTCAGGGCTCAGAACTTGCTGTATTTTTGGTGACATTAGTCCCTCTGAGTCCCGATCGGTGATCCAATAAAGAATCTCTTCCTTCCTGAAGAAACCTGTGTCCATCCCTCTGTGCTTTGCTTCCGTCAGTTTCTCCGGTATCATTTGGTGCATTGGCCGGGAATCTCATCGTTCAACGGTAGCTGAGAGGCAGAGGCGTGAGACGGTCTATCTTTGCCCACGTTCTCTACGGCTGCACCCCTGAACT